GATTAGTGAAGAAAATTATCAGCAGCAGAATATATAAGAATGAAGAATGTATAATAAAGAAAAGTAGAAAAATTCTGAAAATGCTTAATTTATGCACTCAGTACTTGGTCAAGGCTCCTTTTGCATAAATTACTGTATTAATGCAGCATGGCATGGAGGTGAATTTTGATTTCCATGGGCTGTATGCCGTACTCATCAAAATTGAAACAAAAAAGGCCTGAAATATTTCACTTCACGTGTAATGAATATATCTCATTTTCTTTTTAAAAAGTGTAGGCTAATTGCCTTTTGTGTCTCGCCTTGTACATTTGTGTGTGTTATGATTGGTCTATTTCTAGGAAGTTTTTGAGGGTGCACCCATAATCTAAGCCTACCTTGAAAACACAGTGTTCAGATAGGCTACTTGTTGTCTCAAATGTTTGTATTATGTATTATGTGGAAAACGTTAATCCGAGTAGAACATAGTGGCCATAGTGAGTTTTTTGTGCCAGTGCGCCCCTGGGTCCTGAATTTCACGAATAAAATGAAAAGCATCCAAGTAAATATAAAAACTGTGAAGGTCATTAGTTTGTGTCTGTGACGTGAAGCCGTCCAGAGTGGTGTGACTGCTGCTCCTTGGATTCTGCTGGACCAGGTTGCAACCCCACTGTTAAGGTTGGGTGGTGGTAGAACTCAGGTGCAAACACAGACCCGGTCAAGGTGTGAAAAAAGGGTTTATTCTTGATAACAAAAACAATAACTAGGCAAGGGTAGGGAAGCTAGAGAGCTTGTGGATCCAGGAGTGTGGCTGGCGAGGCGAGGGGGCACGAGGCAGCAGAGGTCTGGAAACAAAAGAAGAGACAAAAAACAGTTAGGAACAACCTTTAACACGAAGGCTCGAGTGGAACGAGAATCGTCTGAGTAGGCCGACAACTGTTACCACGGATGGCGAAAAACAATCTGGCACCGGCCCTCCAGGAAGCTGGAGCTTAAGAGCACAGCGGTGATGAGTTGATCTGCTGCAGGTGTGGAGGAGAGCCAGGTGCCGAGCCAGCAACCACGCCCCCTGCACAGAGAGAACACACCTCCCAAGCAGCCATACAGCCCAAGCCGTAACACCCACACAAGTAAAGAAATAAAAGTGATTAATTTAATTTAAAAAACTACATATAGCCCCTTTAAATAAAAAGCTTTCAATACGTTCTCATATTTCTTATTACTTAATGTTACTTTTCATCCCAGGGCCCTTTCATACCTGAAAGTCTGCACCATACAATTTGGTACATTCGGTTAGTTTTGGTTTCACACTGCATTTATGCGACCGCACTAAAGAAATTTGTATGACAGACTTGAGTCCTGTTGTCATCATCTATGTGGTCATATCTTCCAATATTTGACATTGATTGGTTTGTAAAGAGTTAAGGAGTGGCTTGACAACAGCTGCATATTGTTGCTGCTACACTGTTATGGCAATACTACCTACAGCACCAACTGCGCCCGAGGCTAGTTCAAATTCACCAAATGAACGTCTGCATTGTGTGAACATTATATCGTTGCTGGCAGGAAAGGAGGAGTAGACAGTAAGCAATCCTTCTGCACCTCCGTTTGAGCAGAGATTAAGGACATGAGTGGCAGTTTGATTCCATATTTTCAGTGTTCAATGCATTTCCTCCTTCCTGTAAACAGTGAAATGCTTTCACACTAGAAACAAATTAACCTATGGTTCAGTTTGATCCGGACCGTGACTACCTATTTTCGGACCATGGTTTCACACCTGTAATTTTGGTTAGGATTAAATTCAAAAGTCCAAAAGTCCAGACCAAACGAAGTAGGTGTGAAAGCCCAGACTCTAGGCTGAACTGTGACATTTTACTCCTTTTGTTTGCTAAGCCAGACATTTTCTATCTGCGCTGCAGAGATAACAGTTACACCATTTAATAACAGACACATTTAACTAGTTTCAATCACATTTTGAACTGACTCGCTTAAAAGAGCTCCGAGATACAGACAGAAATGCCAAAAATGTTACAACCACGTCCATTCTGTCTATTCTACCTGCGGGAGCTTACTGTAAGCTTTGAACAATGACTGATCTTGCGACATTTACAAAGAAAAATGCAGCAAGATCAGACAAAAGGTGGTTCCAACTTTGTGCAGCTTGAGAAAAGCAACTACTGATGGCAGCTGTCTTGCGGACACAATTTCTAACATGCATTCCTTCTGTTAAGTCCAGCAGGCATCACATACAGTCATCTCTGTGCAGCACCACATGAAGTCAAACGCACCTATTGATCTTGAAATGATTAGGTTTTTTGCCCTCAGGTGGTCACAGTGAGGAATTATACCTGAAAACATGATGAAAGAATTGCTATGCCAGGACATTGACACTGTAATTACTTCAGACGATGTACTGTTAAAATACAAGAGCGGGACACACACTGTAAAAAATGGCAACAGAGGATGTCCTGTCAAATACAAGCCCAGGACGTAAACTGTAAAAATTACTATAGAGGATGTACTGTTAAATACAAGACCAGGATATACACTGTAAAACTATTTGAAATGAGCTGTTAAAGTAGAAGAACAAACAGTGCATTGTAAAAATGACTACAGAGGATATACTGTAAAAATACAAGTAGAATTAATACAAAGGATGAGCTGTTAAAATAGAAGGCTGGGATTAATAAAGTAAATAATGACTATAGAAAACGGACTGTTAAAATACAAGAACTAACTGAATAAAACTGCGAAGAGAATAAACTTATAAAATTGAAGACCAGAGTGCATTATTATATAGTAAAACCAGGAAATACTGTAAAAAATGATTCAGGTTGATAAACAGGACATCCGAGCATCAGTGAGGTTCAACACCAATGCTGTGATCAGGTCTGACTCACAGTTTGTTTTCCACTTTATCCCAAAGGCGAGAGATGGGGCCAAAGGTCTGAGCTCTGTGCAGGCCAGCCCAGATCTTCCAAACCAAACTGGGAAAAGCATTTCTTTATGGTCAACGGCGTCCACAAACTTTTGACCATATACTTTATATACTATACTTCCAGCTTACTCATGTCAGTGAGACAGACATGGAAGTGGAAGAAGTTTACAATAGAAAAGAAAACAGAAAAGGAAACTTTGAATCAATTCTAAATTTATTGATGAATTTATTACAACCTATAAGATTTCCGTAACAGTGATTCTGTTGAGACTCAACTTACTTGTTCTCTAAGAGTAAGAGACTTACTCCCTAGTAAGTCCCTCCTACACAGAACACAGAGACACAGAGGAACCAGACAACCTGGACCAGAGCCCAAAACCAGGATAAAGAGGTTCGGTGAATGTGGTGTTGAAGGTGTGGAGGTGGATCAGTGTGTCAGAGGAGACTCTGTAGAAGGACAGAGAGCCAGCAGGACAGTCCACATACACTGCTACTCGTTCAGAGATAGAGGAGGAGGAGGAGATGGAGGAAGAGAAGGATGTTGCTCTCTTATTGTGCCAGATACAGTAACCCCTAACGTTAGAGCAGGTCAGACTCCAGGACTGATCATTCCATCCAAACATACAGTCTTTGCTGCCTCCTCTTCTTTTTATTCCTCTATAAGTCACTGATATATTAACCTCTCCTCTCCACTCGACCTCCCAGTAACAGCGACCAGTCAGACCATCTCTACACAGCAGCTGAGGCCAGTCTTCAAACCTGTCTGGATGATCAGGATATGGCTGATCCTCCTCCACACATATCGCCTTCTTGTTGTTGTCAGACAGTTTGAGATTTCTGTGTACTGTGTTTGTGTCGAGTGTGAAATCACAGGAATCTGATGGAGAGAACGAGACACAATAAAGCTGCAGTTATTGATCTATCATCCGTTCATTGATTGACACTTTGACAATGACATCAGAGCTTTGACTGAGTGATGTAACAGTCTGAAGATGGTTGAATATGTGCTGCTTTGTTTTCATGAATCAAATGAAAAACACACTTACACTTTCTCAGACCTGGTCTCAACCATCGGACTCCAGCAGGCTCCACCCTGAAAGGAGGAGGGGGGTCAGAGCAGCACATCCTCTTTCAGCATCAAACATGGACATTACATTCCTCTCATACACATACGATATCTCACAAAAGTAAGTACACCCCTCACATTTTTGTAAATATTTGATTATATCTTTTTATGTGACAACACTGAAGAAATGACACTTTGACACTTTTGTAGAGATTCCACAAGGTCGATCTCGTTCCATAGTCAGCACCTACAGTAGCTCTTTCCCAGACTCACACAATCTTGGCTACACACCGGTTCATCCTCAGAGCAGCTCACATTCCTGGCCACTACAAGACCATTAGTGATTTGTCTCGTCTCTCATCCAAATTCAGACACTGATCCCCAGAATTGTATCTTCTTCCCATTCCAGTCTTACCGTTTTCAGCTATATCATTCAACCAGCTCCACAGCTGAGAAACCTCTCTACGCTTCACAAGAAGTCATCCTCAACAGCCTCGGCCCAAGCTTCTCTCAGCATACCTAACTGGCTGGAATCGCTTCAAGGCATCAAGCCACCTTTTATCGGTCATTCTCCTCTCAGGCCCTCAAGTTCAACAACAATTTCAGCACATACGCTCTTTCAGTCCAAGTCCGTTCCTCCGCTATAACATGCTAAGCAAGGCTCAAGGAAATTTGAACCCAATCTTAATCTGACTCTTTAATCTATCCTCTATAATCAATGCATTCCACATTTTCGTCTGCATTTGGGTTCAATCCCCATTGTCCAGCATAACCCACATTGACACATACGCTGTTTGTAACACCCTCGTTAAAAGCTGCATCCAGTAGCAACATCTGGCCTAAGACTTGGCGTGCATGAATGCTGAAGACTGCAGGACACTGCCTCTGGACTCGAATTCAAACTCAAAAAGTAGGGGGAAGCATGTCACACATCAGGTCATAACTGCTTCTAATTGCCGTTAGCTAGTTTAGGTCGCAGTGGAGCTAACTTTTCTGTCTTTGTACAGGAGCTTTGGACCCCCAGTAGGAGGTTTTCAGGCCAGGCCAGCAGGAAATGAGCCAAGTTTAGCAGCCTCCCAGTGAACACGGACTGGGACTGAACACAGCCTCCAATAAAGCAGGTCAGACCCAGGGACTATGAAGACATGGCGGGTTCAGGCAGGGATAGGCGATTGTGACAAGCAGTAGACCACCAAACCAGAGCGGGTGATTGTTGGAACAGACTAACCACAATTGTTTTGGTGAGGTTTTTTTTGTTTCTGTTGAGTTTTATGATGAGTTAACAAGGCGATTAGTTAAACTTATATATTCTCAAATCCATTCTTACATATTGCGCCCTTAACATGCAGAGAGATCTGTCCAAAATGTATTATTTAATTATTACCAACAGGCAATTACGATGCTTGTTCTTAAAGATGTTTCACTTAGAGACCTCCTTTTCCAGTTTTTTTGTTCTGAGCAAAGGCCTACATGTGTTTGTTCAAATAAGCCTTATATCCACCATTAACAAAAAAATACCTCCTCTATCAGATTGATCAGGTTTTCTGTGGTCGCAGCAGGCCTCTTCATACCTGAGATTGTCCAGTCTCCAGTGTGGACCCTCTAGTCCTGCAGAGAGCATCGTAACTCCTGAGTCTTCTAGATGATTGTAGCTCAGGTCCAGCTCTCTCAGATGGGAGGGGTTGGAGCTCAGAGCTGAGGCCAGAGAAGCACAGCCTTCCTCTGTGATCAGACAGCCTGACAGCCTGCAAACACACCAAAGAATGCTCATGGCAGATCATCTGAGGTTCCTGCAGTGTTAGTCAGTTACAGGAGGAAATTATAATAATAATTTGGGGAGTTAACACCACCATGTCACTGTAATCTCCATGTTAAAGTGTATACTGCCATGCTAACAGCTTTGTGAGGCTGTATTAGCTAAATGGTAACATCAGTATGCTCACAATGACAATCTAGCCTATTTAGAAGGTACAATGTTATTTTCTAACTTGCTAATCTGTAGTAATATACAGTGGCCTGGTGGTGGTATACAATTGAAGCAGCTCTATATATGAAAATGAACACCTTAAACTAAATCCTGAACCTGACAGGGTGCCAATGTAAGGAAGACAGGATTGGTCTTATGTGACTTGTCTGTCTAGACCAGGTCAACACTTGCAGCAGTGTTTCAGACCAGGGCCGGCTTGTGGCATAGGCGACATAGCAAATTGCCTAGGGTGGAAAATGTCAGGGGGCGCCACAAGAGAAAGTTTTTGACTTGGTGTGAATCTACTCAGCCCAGCTAATACAACACCGGCGTAAACCGTGATAGTAATCAAGTGCACCTCGCGCTGTGAGACCAGTCCGTTGTGACGAGTGATAACGTAACTTGTAGAGTTTTGCAATATAAACCTAATTAAAACTGATGCGCAACCTTTCTCTGAGCAGAAATCCTTCTGAAACACAGGAGATATCAAAGTCCAGGAGTTTGTTACTGAATTAAAATGAATTAATTTATCGTTGAGGTGGAAAGTTGCAATATACACATTTAAAGAGGTTACTTCCCCAAACAAAGACACATTCCTGACGTTTGCTCTACAGCCAATGAAAGTGACCCAGTAAGCTGAGTGATCATGGGAGCTATGCTATTGGGTGCAACAATAAGGACCTCTGTCTTGATTGTATTGAACTGTAAAAAATGGTTAGCCATCTAGTCCTTAATGACCAAAGGAGAGAAATTAATTGCAATCAAAGTACATCAGGGGGTGAAGAAGTGACAGTGTTTTTGATTTTGTTAAACAGGACTTTAGGGTTGGGTTTACTATAAGAAATTAATGTAGCAAAGTAAGAGGCCCTCGCATCCTTTATCACATTATTTAACTCAGTTAAAAGGTCCTTGTAATAAAAGTGGTGAATGTGAAGCTTAATGGATTTCCAGTCATGATTATGCATGGAGGACTCATCGTTAACATGTACAAACTGAAATCGATCTGATAAATAGGACTTAAACCAGCTTAGAGCGGTTCCTTAAATGCCAATGAAATGTTCCAGTCTCTGCAATAGGATCTGATGGTCAATGGTATCAAATGCAGCACTAAGATCTAATAAAACCAGTACAGAGACAAGTCCTTTGTCTGATGCAATAAGGAGGTCATTAGTAATTTTCACCAGTGCTGTCTCTGTGCTATGATGAGCTCTAAATCCTGACTGAAAATCCTCAAATAAACTATTGCTCTGTAGAAAGTCACACAGCTGTTTAGCAACTGCTTTCTCCAGAACCTTAGAGAGAAATGGAAGGTTAGATATAGGTCTATAGTTGGCTAAAACATCCGGATCAAGTTTGGGCTTTTTCAGAAGAGGTTTAATTACAGCTACTTTAAAGTACTGTGGTACATAGCCTGTTGATAAAGATAGATTGATCATATCTAGTATAGAAGTGCTGACTAAGGGTAAAACATCTTTAAGCAACCTAGTCGGGATGGGGTCACATATTGGAACACAGTTACGTCTTTAGAAACATCGAAATCACGGTGAAATAGGCTATTCGTTTTTTTTCCCTCAAACATGATCTTTAACATGACGCTTTTATGATCAATCTGTCATGGATGTATGGACAGAGAGTTATCTTTGGACATCGTAAATTTATCCACAGCACAGAATAAAATCTATAAGCTACACTGTCCTTTATGACACAGTGACTCTGTGGACATTAAGGCAAAAAACTTACTGTGCGCTACAGTGCTGCAGTTTAAAGTAATCTGTATAAAACAGATCAGTGAACAGTAACCTTTCATCTTGTTGTCGCACTGATCATAGTTGTCAGCTAGATTATGATGTGAATATCTCTGAGTGAGGATGACTGCGGTGCAGCTGAAACAAATAAATGTAATTTAAAAGTGAGTTTTTCATTATCTGCTGATCGTCTGAATGTGTTTTGACAGCATTTCATAAAATACTAAATGAGCAAGATTTTATTAATGTAACATAGACGTCTAAAACTTCACAGTCAGTTTGAACCTTGACACATTTTACATTATTAAAAAATCATTAATAGGCCGACTTAGTCAGACTGTCACCACAGGTCCATGAGGAGCCTAAACTGTGTCTAATCTGTTCGATTAATATTTTCATCTTCAGTTATTTCCACCGGCATTTAGTCCCGTCAGGTTCCAGCTGAATAAACAGGCCTGTAGCTGTTTAAAATGAACAACAGGCTGGAGGAGAATCCTGCACTTTATCAGTCATTAAGGAAACTCCAGTCTGGTAAATGATGAATGAGCAACGCTGTAATAAATGTAATGTTGTTCACGTATCGATCCTCCGCTCCTGTGTTTTAGAGCCAATCATGTTGACACGTTGGCAGCATTCATATTTGTAGCTCCACCCGATTAAAATGGAGGCTCTGCCTTTATTTAGCCGTTGCCATGGTGAATCATAGTATCGGAGGTCTATTGATGAGGCTTTTTTTCATCCTCACGCACACGCTTCAATCAGGCTCAACATACTCTGAGTTGACTGAACTTATTTTGATCAGCCTTTCTGAAATGGAAAACTCGGAGTTTGACAGCTCAGAGTTCAGGTTTACAACTCAGAGTCTGTTGAACCTGCTTTCTGAAATGGGGCCCAGAGGTACTGTGGTCTGTGTTCACACATGCGCGTCTCACTGGGTGTTTCCTGTTTAAATTTTAGTTTCACTTTCTGCAGACTTGTGGCGCAATTAGTTTTCACCGTCTGAACCTCCAGCTGAAGGTAGGCTACTGTAAAATGTTTGAAAGGTTTTCCTCGTTAACCAAAGCTGTGGTTATCTTAGTTACACTAGAAGCAGCAGAAATCTGCCGCTTGATGAGTTTCACTGTGAACTCAGGTCGAAGGAGGAGAAAAAGCTGCTATTAAGATACATATGGCCGCCATGTTGTGTGTCTGGTTAAAGTCGATTTATTCTCAGGAGTTGAACACGTAGTAGTTGTTACTATGTAAGTAGACCAACACTGAATCAACGTTGAATCAACGAAACTATCATTGAATTGAATGCAGTTAGTTGAAATGCAGCATTCATTGTTAATCAGGTTTGCACCCTGAAATAATGTTATTTCAATTATGAAAAATAGATCAAAACGGTCATGAAAGCATTAGTTCAGCCGAAATTCAATCGTTGATTTAACGTTAAATCATCATTAAAACAACATAAAATCAGCTTTATCTACAGCAGGATTCTGTGCAACTTGCCAGCAAATCATGTCAAGAGTTTTGTTTTGACACATAACAGTGGATGAGAGTTTTTAGCAGCTATAGCAGCACAGAAAGAGAAGCTGCCTCTGGTAGCAGTGCAGCCTTCTCTTTGATAGAAACACATGTCAAAAGGTCAGAACCTTGTTGCCTATTGGCAACAGAGTCAATGTTCTGCAGCCATAGATTGTATCTTCAATGCCTTTGAAAGCATGTATGTGCTATATATGTTGAATAAATGTTGTATGGATTCTCTTCACTTGCATGACACAATGGGAGTGTTGTATGTTACACACTGGAATGTGTACGGAGAAGAAAGATTCACACAGTATAAAGCACACTGGTAAATCCTTCTTTTGGCCAGATGGTGACATTTGGACATTTCTGATGTGAGTTTGTTGTCAGAGCTGCTGAGAAGCTGACAGCAGAGTTAGAACCAGGTTAGAACAGAAGGGCATGCAGGTTTAACTCTGGGCTGAGGGTGGATGATGAAGAGGATAACTAGGCTGCAAATAAGACATAAAGATAAAAAACCAAATGAAATGAACAACAATAAATCCATATATATCAGTAATCTGGATTTTAAAAAAACGTGACTCGTATTCGTATCTTTCAATTCTTGCTTCTCTTAGTTGAGTACATGTCTTCACTGTAATTATCTAATTATTTCCATCCATCCATCGTCAACCACTTACCCTGCATACAGGGTCGCGGGGGGCTGGAGCCAATCCCAGCTTACACTGGGCGAAAGGCGGGGTACACCCTGGACAGGTTGCCAGATTATCTAATTATTATTTTTCTTATTATTTGAGTGGGGGCTAAGGACCATGTTTGGGTAGCTTTCGCCTCCCTAAAATAGGCCTAACAACGTCCGTGCTAGCGTTCCTTCTTTAAGTCAGTTTGAAATGAAATCTAATTAATAAGTCCTTCACAGACTCAACAACAGAAGGGATCGAGCTTTCTCAGTCGCAGACCCAAGACTACAGAATGAATTGCCTCTTCATGTCAGACTGACCCCCAGCCTTACGTTTTTTAAATCGCTACTTGAAACTCATTTTTACTCCTTGGATTTTAATACAGGATGAGCTGTATGTTGCTGTTTTGTTTGGTGTTGTATTTTTGTCTATTTATTGATTCATGTCAATGTACAGCACTTTGGTCAATTTGGTTGTTTTTAAATGTGCTTTAGAAATAAAGCTGGATTGGATTGGATAATTAATAATTAATTAATTAACTTTTAATATTTTATCAATGAGCTTTATTGAGACTATCAGTCTTTTATTTTGGTAGGCTGTATCTGCTTGGGTAACAGTAGTGGAAACTAAGTAATCCAGTAGGCTCCAAATGTAAAGTACTTTCTTGAGTATTTCTGCTCCTTTCTACTGTAAAGGAGGATTTGAGTTGATGTGCAGATGAATGATTTGTGTTTCCTCTCCAGGTGAAAGTGGATGTGAGTTGAGCAGCATGAGTCAGTGTGAGGACAGAGAGGAGGGAGTCCCTCCCTCTAAAAGCACTCTGTGTGGGGAACATGACAGCCAGACCAAAGCTCAGAGGTGAGATGAGGATCTCTAACTGTCCAGGACTCAAATCACTCCACCATCATTATTCACTCTCAAAGCTCTGTGTGTGTTGTGTTGAAGCCCAGAGCAGCAGCAGGGACCAGACTCTGCTGGACCTGGACCTGGACCTGGACCTGAGCCCAGCTGTGTGTCCTTCAAGAGTGACCAGTCAATGGGTCGACTTAATGAATTTAAGCGAGGACGTGAATCTGACAGACAGTAAGTATCAGTCAGTATTAAACAGTGTTGGCCAATCAGAGCTAAATGTTCATGTCTCCCTCCTCATGTTGCTCCCTGCTGATGTTTGTCCTCATTAAAACCAGTCTGACCAGTTGTCCTTATAATGTCCATGTTCTCCTAGAATGATGATGAAGATTCAGCTGAGGATACAATGAGGCTTCAGCAGTCTGAGTTACACTAATCAAGTATTTTTAGTTTGAAGCATTCTCTTTAAATTTAGTCCTAAAATGTTTCACTTTCCAAAGACTTTAAATAAGGGATTTGAGCTGAAACAATTCATTGAGACATTTGAATAACCTGATTACTAAAAATCATATAAGACAGAAAGTGTCCAAAGTATGGCATCATTTTAAGTTAAAAGAAACTACAACTCTGTACAGTGTGTATAATGTAAAACAGAGCTAGCCTACTATAACAGCACAAAGGCAATGCTTCAGCATCCAAACAGAAAGCACCCGGTCTAATGCGGCTTTCAGACCAAACGTAAATTTAATCCTCCCAAATCTCTCTTTGCTGGACAACTGTTCACACACAACGTGATAACGTAAATAAACACAATCCGCGATAGCTACAGCTGTATGAACCGAAAGTAAACATTTAGCTGTGATTTAATTGCAATAAACAGATCAAACTGATGCAGAAATAACTACAATATAATGCCGATTTGTTAAAACATATAACATACATATGTTTTCTGAATGGAGTTCGGATCGATCAGGGCTATGCAAACTTGTTCACACTAAAGTATAACGACAGCTGGAATAAATTTACAGACACATCTTTTCTGGACTCACCAGATAGCTCAACCTTCTTCCTTTCTTTTCTCCAAGTAATGTCCAGTTTTGTCCATTTCTTATATAAATATGAATTAGTAGTCAAACAGAGCTCTGGGTGAACACTGACGCTAACAACAACGGTGTGAAAATGCACAGAAGCTAGCTGCTGAGAAGCTTGAGTAAGTATAAATCAATGTTGTAATCCCAAAAACTAAAGTAAAGAGATAATTTTACTTAGTTTACTCCGAGCTCCTCCTACGAGTAAACGGCCTAGTTGTCCGAGCAGAATCCAGACCGACTAGGGGTGTCTAAAAGCTGCAGCGCTGCTCCCGGCTCTGTTCAACTTCTCCCCCAAGTTTAGCAGCTCTCCGCCGGCCAGTGGTATTTCAATCCCCCACTCTGCCGGGTCTTCTCCACACAGCGCTTTGAAGCAGTCTGTGACGTCCGGACAATCTCAACTCTGACAGGCTATTGCGACTCAGCATCATGCGACTTTCTTGGTCGAGTTGAAAATTTTCAACTCACGTGAAGGCCTCTGCTTGAAAGTGGATGTGAGTTGAGCAGCATGAGTCAGTGTGAGGACAGAGAGGAGGGAGTCCCTCCCTCTAAAAGCACTCTGTGTGGGGAACATGACAGCCAGACCAAAGCTCAGAGGTGAGATGAGGATCTCTAACTGTCCAGGACTCAAATCACTCCACCATCATTATTCACTCTCAAAGCTCTGTGTGTGTTGTGTTGAAGCCCAGAGCAGCAGCAGGGACCAGACTCTGCTGGACCTGGACCTGGACCTGGACCTGAGCCCAGCTGTGTGTCCTTCAAGAGTGACCAGTCAATGGGTCGACTTAATGAATTTAAGCGAGGACGTGAATCTGACAGACAGTAAGTATCAGTCAGTATTAAACAGTGTTGGCCAATCAGAGCTAAATGTTCATGTCTCCCTCCTCATGTTGCTCCCTGCTGATGTCCTCATTAAATCCAGTCTGACCAGTTGTCCTTACAAAGTCCATGTTCTCCTAGAATGATGATGAAGATTCAGCTGAGGATACAATGAGGCTTCAGCAGTCTGAGTTACACTAATCAAGTATTTTTAGTTTGAAGCATTCTCTTTAAATTTTGTCCTAAAATGTTTCACTTTCCAAAGACTTTAAATAAGGGATTTGAGCTGAAACAATTCATTGAGACATTTGAATAACCTGATTACTAAAAATCATATAAGACAGAAAGTGTCCAAAGTATGGCATCATTTTAAGTTAAAAGAAACTACAACTCTGTACAGTGTGTATAATGTAAAACAGAGCTAGCCTACTATAACAGCACAAAGGCAATGCTTCAGCATCCAAACAGAAAGCACCCGGTCTAATGCGGCTTTCAGACCAAATGTAAATTTAATCCTCCCAAATCTCTCTTTGCTGGACAACTGTTCACACACAACGCGATAACGTAAATAAACACAATCCGCGATAGCTACAGCTGTATGAACCGAAAGTAAACATTTAGCTGTGATTTAATTGCAATAAACAGATCAAACTGATCATGCGACTTTCTTGCTGAAAATTTTCAACTCACGCGAAGGCCTTTGTGTCACCGGCAGCGCCCCCTACTCATTGCCCCCTTCGCATCGCCCGACAGGAAATCACGGCTCTCTGCATCTTTGGATTGACTTTGTATGTTAATGCACCACCCCCAACGCTCACTTCTCTTTTGGTCTGAATGAACCTTAAGCATTAAATCAACAGAGCGGAGCCCGAAAAAAGGTAATGGTTAGCATTTAACGTAAATCACAATTGATAGCTGAGATGAAGTTCATTTCGCAGAGCAAGAACAGACTGATGAGTTTCAGAAGAAAGTTCTTTGTTTCTGGCCATTTTGAGCCTATACTGCTGATGCTCCAGATACTCAACTAATCTAAAAAAGGCAACTTTTATTGCTTCTTCCACTCATTAAGACTATGCAATGTTTGCGTGCTTCTCTCTTTAAGACTGGCTGCCAAGGATCCATTGGTGATGGTTGCTAAAATTGGGCTCTGTACGCCTCTGTAGATATTCCATTACAAATCAGCCGTCATATTGATATTATTTCTGCTTTTCTTCTGAAAACAAAGAATGTGTATGTAGGTAGAAATGACTCATTCCAAAGTGTGATTTATACTTCTGCGTCTAATCGATGGTGTAAACTACGCAAAACCATGTATCCTTTGCAGTAGCTACGTGCATAGCTGATGCCGTAGGCTACGGCGTAGACCTGAAGCAGGAATATAAATCACCCTTAAGGTAATAAAAATATAACTTAAAAAATATAACTTCATTGTGTAAGTCAGTAGATCCTCCTAAATACTACACACCGGATCATGAAGAATTAGGGCTGAACGATTTAATTTTTAAGATCTTTACCTTCTGTATTATTAAAAATGGACAAGCAGTAAATCAGTGTATAGTATGACCAACACAATATTAGATAGAAGGAACATACACTATTCTTTCTTGACAGTCAGGCCAGGTTATGATGAATTAGGTAGAGAGGTTATGATTATTATTATTATTATGAGCAATGGTGGAGAAGATATATCAAATTATAATAATATGAAAAAGATCATTTGAGTCAAGTCATGGCATTAAGTAATATTGTTGGTGAGAGCTATGACTGTATGTTGCTCTAGGGGATTCGCTGGAACACCTCATCCACACAGACACTCCGATTAGAGAGCGAGGCCGGACACAGTAGGACTGTTAACTCTGCTTTACTGATGAAGCACAACTCCAAATGAAATACAGCTCTGTGTTCCTGGTTTGCTGTTTACAGTTTGATTCATTAGAATTTATCTCTATTATCTGTTCTGTCTGAGACTTCACATTGGACTGATTGACTCTGTTTCTGTACTGGTATCAAATCAGCCAGCACGTTAAACATCACATAAACACTGCTACGTTAGTAACGTTATGTTACATTAGCGGCGAAATTCACCGTTTCATTTGCATATCAACGGAACTAATTAGCAATCATTAGCCGATCGTTGCCACCCACCTTCATCACAAACGCAGACAGGTATTGACGTAAAATAAACAAGAATGCCGTGAACGGCTGAATATTATAAGGACCCCCTTAGCTGCCTAACGAGGTGCCTGATGCAAAACACTAAATTCAGCACTGAACAAATCCTGCACCACAAACAGTAATAATAGGGAATTTACAACAGCCGCCCCCAGAATAGCCTAGCTATTATGTAAAGACTACTAAATTCCCGAAGGTGCTGATGGAGTCCCTGAACTGGTTCCGTCGTCATCTGAAATGGCCGGCAGCTGGACCAGACGCGCTACTGGCCGCAGGTAGGTCTTCTCCCCGACTCGGACCTCGGCCGACCGGACACGGCCATCTGCACTCTCAATCACCTTGACGATCTTCCCAATGGGCCACTGCGCTCTCGGAAGCTGGGGATCGATAATCATGACAACCGTGCTCTGAGTGATGTCATCAGTGGGCCGCCGCCACTTCTGACGGACTTGTAGGGAAGGAAGGTAATGTCTAAGAAACTGAGCCCAGAAGTGGTCCACCATCATCTGACAGTGGCGCCAACGTCGTCTCGTGAGGGTGTCAGGAGCGTATGACACTTGTGGTAAGGAGGCGTCCCTCCGCCCCATCAGCAGCATGTTAGGCGTCACTGGATCGGGATCAGCTATGTCTGACGATACATAGCCTAAGGGCTTTGCATTGAGGATGCCCTCAACTTCGATCAGAAGGGTGAGAAGGACATCTTCATAGAGTGATTGCGTGCCAACAACCACTTGGAGAGCCTTCTTGACGGATTGTATTTCACGCTCCCAAGCACCGCCGAAGTGAGGCGCTGCTGGTGGGTTGAACTGAAACTTAATCTGGTTCTTGATGAGTCTCTCCTTTAGATCTGGGCCCATAGCCGCAAAGGCCTCTTTAAGCTCCCTCTCAGCCCCTCGAAAATTAGTCCCTTGGTCTGAGAGTATCTCGGCGGGGGTCCCTCTTCGTGCTACAAACCTTCTCAGTGCCAAGAGGAAAGTGTCTGTGTCGAGGCCTGCCAGCAGGTCTAGGTGGACACAGCGTGTCGTGAGGCACTTGACGATCACTCCCCATCGCTTCTCATTCCGGCGTCCAACTTTAATGATGTATGGACCGAAACAGTCAACTCCTGTGGAGTAGAAGGGGGGCTTTAGGAGTCGCAGGCGGGCCGGAGGAAGATCTGCCATCGTGGGGACAGAAGGCTTTCCTCTCCATTTGGTGCACTCCAAGCAGGTTCTCTGATATTTCTTCACGGCCTGTCTCCCACGTAGGATCCAGTATTGCCGCCTGAGCTCGGCGAAGACTCTGTCTGGGCCCGGGTGGAGCAGGCGTGCGTCCATGTCTTTGATGAGGAGTTCCTAAGTCGACCTCCAACTTGAATAAGACCAGACTCCGGGTCTATCTCTGGAGCAAGTGAACTCAGCTTACTGCTGGGGAACACAGGCTTACTAGCCTTTAGGCGCTTGACTTCTTCAGGAAAGCTCTCTGCTTGGCTGGTCTTCAGCAGGAGGACCTCCGCGTGACGGAGATTAGGAGGCCCTGATGATGGGTCTGCGGCCGCCCCGTGAAGCGACTGGTGCGTAGCCCTAACCAAGTCTGCCCAGTTGTTGAACTGTGAGGTGTCTAGAAGTGGGTCTGGAGGGCGTGTTTGCATGAATCCGCAGAAGATTGTCTGCTTGAGCTCAGAGGTATCTGCTGGGTTGACGGAGTCTGGAACCGAAGGCCATTCTTGTGGTGGAGAGCGGAGGAATGCTGGACCCTGGATCCAACGATTTGAAGTGATTAGCTCGGCCAAGGTCATACCCCTCGTTAGGTCGTCAGCCGGATTGTTTGTCGTATCTACGTACTGCCAGGTGTGAGAAGCAGTCAGGTCTTGGATCTCGGAGACTCTGGTCCCAACGAAAACCTTGAACCTGCAGGACTCAGATGTCAGCCAGGTCAGGACTGTAGTGGAGTCGGTCCAAAGATAAGTCTCTGTGATGTTTAGAGTGAGCTCTCGATGGATGAGGGAGGACAGCTGAGCCCCTGTTAGCGCTGCGCAGAGCTCTAGACGTGGCATTGACTGTTGGCGTTTTGGGGCTACTCTTGACCTGGCCATGACGAAAGAGACGTGCACTGCCTTGTTGACGGTGGTTGTGGTGAGATAAGCGACCGAACCATACGCCTGTTCCGAGGCGTCACAGAAGACATGGAGAGTGTACTCTGTAGCTTCAGTAGCCACTTCCGATGGATTGATGTTCGGGGAATGGACACACCAGCCAGTTCAGGAAGCTCACTCTCCCAGCTCGACCAGGCCTTGATGATCTCTGGAGGAAGATTAGGGTCGTCCCAGCTCCTCTTCTTGGCCCACAACCTTTGAACGAGAACTTTAGCTCTTGTTGTGTAAGGGATGATGATCCCAAGCGGGTCGTATTGCCGGGCGAGCACCTTGTAGACGTGGCGCATGGTGAGTGTTTGACTCTCCGGAGGCTTGGCTCGGAAGCCGAGTTGGTCAGTTGGACAATACCAGCGCAGGCCCAGCGTTGGCTCTTGCGGGTCAGGGCCTTTCTCTGCCAGCCATTGCTCTGCACTCTCGGAGCGGGCAGTAGGGGGTAGATGGGCGACGACAGATGGGACGTTGCTTGCCCACTGCCGAATCTCAAAACCACCCAAAGCGAGGAACTGCCTTAGCTTATCGATGAGAGCCTTTGCTGACTCGGGCGTTGAGAGGCTCTGCAGGCAGTTGTCAACGTAAAAACACTGTTCAATGGACTGCAGGATGTCCTCATGCCCTTCAACGTGGTCCTTGGTGTGTCTTTGCAGCGCAAACGTGGCGCAGCAGGGGCTACTAGTCGTCCCGAATGGGAGGACACACC